GCCCACCACGGGTATCGAAACCCGGTTTCTAGCATTGTAAGTCCGCAGACATACCGCTGTGCCACTGGGAGGCCCATCAAATAGAAAAAGTATTATGTAGAATTAAAATCTAGTAACTTGTGCAATAAATCACTGTACAAGCATGTGAGTTTATTAAAAAGATTTATCAAGTGCAAAACAAATAAAAAGCACCAATGAAACAAAGGTCCAATTTTCTTAAGAGACTTTTCTGTACTTGTTTCTTTCTGGCCAAAATCATCAGTATGGATTTCCATACCCAGTATAAAACTCTGCCACTCATGACTATTGTAACACAGCAACCAAATATATCTTCTTAAAATGTTTCAACACTAATTCATCCTCTTTTATCAAGAATGTAAGTTCTTAGAACATTAAGAAGAGCACCTTTACACATAATCACCCATTGATAAAAATATATTTTATCACTATGCTTCCACAAAAACAAAAGTTTATTTATTATATACAATCACATAAATCTAAAATACAAGTTCACTCTACACATAATCACCAACCACCAAAGAAATTGTGAGATCACAGAAAATTGTTCCACACCAGTAATTTCACGAGTGATAACTGATCACATTCCACCTCACTTGAAGGAGTGCTGGTCAGCATGGAGTCAACATTGAGATTCTGGTAAAGGCCAGAAGTCATCAATTTTCTAAGACGATGTAGTACCCACATTCTTTGGGAAGATGCTGTTAAGATTAAATAAATTTACAATTCTTGAAACAAGTACAGTAAATAGAATAAGCATATTAAGCAGTATAAAATTATACCGTATTACAGTTTATTTCTGTCTAGAGGTTAACAGTAAGTGTTGAAATTATCACATATTCCATGCTAATTACTAAAGAAAGAAAAGTAATATATAAATTACGTTACAATAAACACATGCAAAGGTGTTAACTATATTCAAGAAAATTTACATATATATATATACAGTGAAACCCCAATTTTATGCACCCGGATTTAATGCAAATTTGGATATAATGTGATGGGTCATTAACTCTTTCGACACGGGCTCGTTACCATAAACTCGTTAAGTCTACTTAATATTTTAAGTGTATCTTTACAAAACCCTGATTTAGCGTGACCCTGCTTGTTTTGCGATGACATTTCATGGACTTCAACGATCTTTTTATATATATATATATATAAATTGAAAACAATAACACAAACAATACTTTCTTTTTTAAAAAATTAACTGCTTTGAAGAGTGATAAAAAAAACAATATTAAAACGTTCTGTTACAAAACTTACCTAAGTAGCTAAGCTGTGCACAGGCAGCCAAGGCTGCAGCAAGTCTAGAAACTATTTTACAGCTTGTACTGGTTTCCAGTTGAGCATCCAATAGGCACATCACAAGCTGGATTGATGGTTGTGACAAGACTGAACGGTCTGATAAAAGTTCTTTGTCTGAATTTGGAGGCATGATGGGATAGACAGTGAACCTCCAACCCCAGCCATTGACAGAACCGTCACTACAAAACTTCCAGCGAAGTTCAGAGCCAGGTACATGCAATTCTGTGGACCAGTCTGACCACTCACGACCTAACAAGAAATAAAATGTCTTCATAGTGAAAATCAAAAACAGAGAAAAAGACAAATTATTCAGTAGAGAAATAAGAAACATATGTATTTTTCTCAAAACTGTTTATTAGTATTGCGTAAAACTTTGAATTATTCTATTTCATTCAACATGAATATCACTACAAATGATACAAAAATATATAATTCAAAATCAAAACTTGAAGAAAAATTATGTTTAAAACAGCTTCTGTTAACAAAAAAATATATATTTTTATAAGCATAATCACAAGTAGGATTTCTTTCATTAACCTGTGCAAAATAAACTATTGAAAACTAAACAAATTAAGCAGCAGACTAGAAATTAAATTATTTCACATAAGCTTAAATCTGAAATAAACTGTAGTAACATGTTATTTACTTAATACTACACTTTCTTTTGTAAGAATGGGTATTTTCTTACTCCACAATAAAAAACAAAACTGAGAATAGAGCAAAATTAAAAAGGTAAGAAAATCAAGATATTTTCTTATTGAATATCCTATTGTGTTATATGAATATTTAGTTTCAATAACATGATTACAGCTACAAATAAGTTGGTTCAAGTTTTTCCTCTTTTTATCATAGTAACAAATCATGGATATGTATGGTGTTTTTAGTCTTTCACTCCCCCACATTAAATCTATATATATAGGATTTGAAGGTTATGTAGCACTGGTGCTATTAATTTATTCTTCTGAATCAGTGAATCAAATAATAGCTAGGATTTCTTATTTATTTCTTAGTACTTTAAACTGCTTGTCTGCCAAGTAATTCATAAGAATAATTTAGTAGCATTAACTCCACATATTCTTCAAATCCAACATAAATATAGGTTCACTGTGATGAGTAAAAGACCAAATAAAAATACCATACATATACACTTCACCTCTATAAGAGACTTAGTCTTGTTCTTTGTTCATGGTTACTGACGAGGGTTGGAATTCCCCAAAACCAGTATAACTCAGTGATGGGTGGTGAATTGAATAATAGAATAAGATTTATATTTCTTTTTCAACCAAGGATTAATAATGTTGATCACAATTGTCAATCTGGCAAGAAATTCAGTAAAAGCAAACAGGAAAGAGCTAAAAATGCAGGTAAAAAGATATGAGAAGATAAAAATTGTAATGTAATTTGTTCTGTTTGGACAATTTGTTTCACTTAAAAAGTCTTCAGCTTTTTGAGTTGTAGTACATATCCTGATCATTCAAACACATTTGTTTTATTTTGAAATACTTGTGTATCATTTTTTATATTTATTTTCAAAACAAAAGCATTTCATTGAATAGTGCCATAAACACACAAAGATGTACTACACAAGTTTTAAAACATAAATTAATTTTGTGTGGGTGATTAAGGGTCACCCTTTCTAATTACAATATTACATTCCATGAATATAAATAAAATAATTTTATAACTTATTACCTGATTTGACAGCCACAACTTTGCCACTCCCATCCATGATTGTCAATGGGTCATGTCTCCTTTCTGTAGAACACTGACGGTCAAATTCAACACGCAGACTTTCTGCTCCTAAAAGTGAAAATTATAATAGAAGAAAAGAATAATGTATTACAATAAGTACACGCAATTTCAAATGATATCATAAAGAAATGAATAAAAATCCTATAACCCAAGCACTTTCGAAAGGTGGACCTTTCTTCTTCAGGGTCAAACTGGGAATAGGGTTATAGAGTTTGTATTTATTTCTGTCAAGACTCCTTGAACCTATGTGTTTTTCTACCATTATAATATCATAAAAATATTCTAATAACATCTTATTGCATCTTGTTTTCATCTAGTAATTTTGAGGACTCATCCTACTAAAGACAGACCATTTCAAAACATCAAAACACAGGTAAGAGATCACAATAAGAAATTTGTACATTTTAAGTAATTTTAATAATTTTCTGGTACATAGATAAATTTCATAAATTTTCTAGAAGTATGGCATGCCAACCTGATATCTTAACATGTCCAGTGAGGGTGGTATCATCAGTGTATGGATGGCTTGATTCCTGAACTACAGGGAGAGGAACAGACAACCTTGATTCCGTATCTGAAGCCACATCTTCTAGTTCTGTCACACACAATTCCAGGAGCATTTCACTTACCTAGTATACAAGTAGCATATTAGAGCCATTTGAACACACATATATATATTCATGCAAGTAAAGTTAAAAACCTACAATTTATTCTGATACTTGTATTATTCTTCAAACACATAAGATCAATTTGGCATTTTCTATTTGAAAATTACCCAAGTCACAGATTGGGAAACAAAAAAGGATATAAATAAATGACCTACTGTTACATGTACCCAATCTTTAGTAGATATGTATGAAAATATAGTAAATTTAAATTTTATTACTAAATACTTTAAATGCTGTTTGCTAATTCTGTAGTACAGAAAGAATGTGTTAAAATGTACATAAAGATTATATATGAACACTAAGCTTTAGACAATACCTGGGGATTAGCCTTCCCTAAAGCTGTCAAAACAGATGTGATTGTTTCCTTTGCTTTGTCACCAACTCGTCCAGATACTGCAAGTTTCAACAAGTCAACCAAGACCCGAGCATCATCCGAAGATAGTTTAGATGTAAAACTATCCAAGTTTCTTTGGTTGGACTCTAATGTGTTACCCTAAAATAATAGCAATGATCATTGCACAGTGGAAAAAATATGATTTGAAGCAGTTTTAAAGTTTATTTTTCCTACTGTGATAATCAAGTTAATAAGTTCAAAAAAACTTATATCAATCCACGGGCAGGATTGTTGGGCAACGGCCCTTAAGGCATGCTTCATATGTATTTCACAGTGTCCCAAATCCATCTTACATAAACTATAATACATTACATTGAAATTATGTTTTAAATATTTTAAGCAGTAGCTGGTTCTTGGGGCTCAAGCCCTGAATCTTTCTGGTAGCTAGCAATAGCCCTGTATATGGGTTGTTTTAAACATAATAAATTATTTTATATAAGTACATCAGCAGGATACAGTGAGATTTTAAAGATATGAACTTGATGACAACACAGTTTTATCAAAATATAAGTGTCAGGCTAATCAACATTTACAAGCAAACAAGTAAAACAGAAGAAATAGCTATCCACTACCAAAGATTTTCCTCTTAAAAAAAAATATTTTTAAACTTATTTCACTTTACTTACACTCATTGTAATCTATATTTAAGCCATGAAAACAACTTTATACAATCTTGTTCCAACTGAAATATAATATAAATACACCAACTTCTGGGATGGTAATGTAGATTTTTTATCTTAGGTACAGTTGTGTATAAAGATCCTTCTTTTATTCTAATTTCAAAATCAATTAACTTTTCATTTGTGTTCTTGAAACAGTAATATACATATCATCAAACATTTTAGGTTTGGTGTAAAGTTTGAAGATATCTTTCAAACTCGGACCATAAAATGCATATAAAGAAATTTTTCACGTTAAATGAAAAACAGGAAAACAAAAACAAAAGAATGAATATTATTAGAACACCATTTTTAAGTGTCTATGTCAAATAATTATGAAAATAAATAATTTCAAAGACAATATCTATTTCAAATAATTTATTAAAGCAGATGTTAAACAAATTCAGGATTTGTTTAATGAAGTTTACACAGATGGATAGCACATTATGCAGCTTTGTGTTTAACAACAAACAAATAGTGCAGTACAAGTAAGACTACTTTTAAGTTAATGGTAACTATGAAGTTATAGCAGCTTTAAATTAAATTTAAACTTAAAACATAGTTCTTACTGATGTATAAGAATGCATTTATTTATCCTAAGATCTATCAAGATACTTCACCAAATAGCAGTTTCACACTGCTACTACCTATTCACTTGAAATCAATTTATTTAGTATGAACTAACAGAAGTTATTATGAATATTCTGGCCAGAAGGCATTGTTAGGGAGGAGTGTGGAAAGTTTTTCTTTATAGATGTTAAAATTTTCAAAAAACATTAAATTTATGACAGTACAAGAAATAAGCAAGTAATGTTTTTGTCTTTCATAAAGAAAGCATACTTTAATTTTACTTTCTTTGATAACTTTGGTTAAAATGTTTAACATATTTAGGTTTATTGTTTCTTATTATACAGATTATTTTGCATTGTTAGCTTAGTATGTGGAATTAGGACTAACTTACATTTCCTAAGCTACCCAAAAACCTCGAGACATCATTGGATTTATAGCCAAAAATATCACTAACAGTGAGGGTACCCAACTGATGAAAAATGCATTCTAATATTTATAAGTAGGAAACCTTATTTTTGCCTTTAACTGATTTTTTGAGTTTATGCTTATCTATCATCAAAAACAGTATCTTTACTTAACTATACTATTAATGGGTTGATTTTTAGTTTTTTGATCTAAGTTGGTAGCTTGCTTTAATCTGAAGTTCATATTGTGGTACTATGATTTGATTTATTACAAGCAATTGCTAGGGTTAACTGTTAGCTTAGCTGGTAGAACACTTGCCTCGTATGTGAGAGGTCTCAGGTTAAAATCCAAGCTGAAAGTATATGCAAAAAGGATTTACTGCAGAAAAACTGACACCCAACCCGTAGTTGTCTTATGACCATGAGATAAAGCCAATGACAAGCCTTTTTTGTACGAGAAGAAGAATGTGGTATTTTCAGTTGTTAAAAAGCCTCTGGAGTTAATCCTTTAATTCAGTTGATAGAGCACTCAGTTGGTGTGAGAGGTGTTGGGTTCAAACTCAAGCAAAAGAAACATTAAAAGGGGTTTATCTCATTATTAGTAACATAACAGTCTGCTGTTGACCTTAATTATGTCAATGGTATTTCAAGTTTTAACTTAACTCTAAAATTTCATCTGTACTACTGACATCACATGTGTTTGCATAGAAAACATTTTAAAATGCAAGAATATCTGCAATTAATGAATGGCCAAAAATGAAACATTTTATACACAACTGCTATAGAAAATAAAACATACCATATTGGATTAATTATAGGGTTATCTCAAACATAAAGTGACCCCCATTTTCAGAAGCCATGGGAAAGAAAAAATTGAGTGTCATAATGTTCTTTTTTTAGGTCTGCAAAATCAATATTATAACTAAACAGTCTGCAAGTGGATTAGTTGCAAGAATTAGCAATGAACATCTGGCAAGCATACATAGACAGATGCTATCTGGACATTCAGGAATGTGATAGGCTAGAGCAGGGGGAAGGGGCCTGTGGTTGGCTGTGATTATAAGGCGACTATGAATTTTAAAGCCTAATTATTAATCAAAAAACATCGTCTTATAATCGGGCCAATATGGTAATTAATTTTTCAAAGCAGTATACTTTTTTTAAACATATGCCTCAAATGGAGCACATCTAGATAGTACTAAACGATTCCAAGACTTTTTTCAACATTATCTGTGTGCAAATGCAATACACTAATGCAACATAACCAAAAGTCAGTCTGTAAACTACAGTTCTAGAATAAATATATCAGCAAACTCTTCTTCCTTTCTATTGGTTTGTCAAACTTGATAGCAAAAAATAATGATCATATGGGAATACATTTGCATAGAATTATTAATTTATCATGAAATGCATCACTAGCATAAATCCATACATCTCTTTTGAAATCTCTAAGGCACATTGCAGTGTGTATAGACATATACCTTGTTCAGCTCAACAGATTTTACTTAAACTTAATAGATGAAACAAAATGAATGTTGCAATAGGAGCTTCAAGTCACATAACATGTAAGGGGACCCCACACTGTCTGACAGTCAAAAGTGAAGTTTCTAGAAAATATATAATATTTCATTAAGTGCTGGTATCAATGAAGCAGATAAAATTTAGAACCCACAAAACCTTTGAAACAATTCATGGAAAGGTTAGATATTTTAAATGCTTACAATCAAAATATTCTTCATTTTACAGCGTAAAATGTGGAAATATATTCCAGCCATTTCACAGTAGATTAGTTTATAGTTACCTGATCTGTGGGGGTAAAAGTTGCTGCCAGTACACTGGCTGCTACAGATGATACTTTAGAAGATAAGCTGCTTGAACTTGACAAGGAAGGTAAGGAAAATGCTTCCCTCGCTGCTGGATCTTCTTCTTCTGTTAAACTTGTCACTGGTAAACTCTGTGTTTGTAATACATTAACTATATTTATATATAAAGATCATTGGTAATTACCTATAAGCTGGTTCCTTAAACATTGCTACTATACTTAGATTTACACAGGCACTTCAAAGATATGTGAGCAAACAAATAATTTTATAGTGAGATCAAGTGACAGAAATAATATTTATGAGAATCACACAGAAAATGACTTTTCAATTACACATGCACAATTTTGGAAAGTTTAACAAGTATTGTAGAACCTCTTTTGTTGATCTACTTCATGTACTATAGACAATGCAAAGTAACATCTAAAAACAGAGAAACAAAAGAAATAAACAAGGACCTTAGAAGTTCAGTAAAACACAGCTTTAATACTTCACTTACAAACTTACACAAGGTCACCCATAATTGACAGTACAAGGTTTATATAGATGGTTGAGTATATTGTAACAAAATACAAAATAATTTTGAATATGAAAAATGGCAACTCATGGTGGAACAGAATGTATCATAACTACATGTTGACAGTATTTCCTGTTTTATAGGTAATGTGATGGCACCAGAGCCAGGGTATTTAGTAAATCTGGATGATCCCACCATACCCATTGTAGTTCAAATCAAAATGTGATAATTGTGCTTGTTTGGAAATTTCAACAGCTCAAAAGCATAATGATAATAAAAATTTCTGCTTAAATTTCCCTATTAAAATCAACTTTACAAATACTTAAAAAAAGTAATTTTTTCAGACTTCAGGTTAAAAAAAAAATCATACTTTTATGCTATGTCGACTCTCAGTGTGAACGGGAGCCGATGAAGATGGAGCCACTGTTACAATACCACTTGTGGTTGAGGTCAAAGATGTTGTTTTCATAGCTGGACTAGGACTTCGATCATGTGTATTGGACTGGACCTGCACTGTAGTGATTTCTGTGTGGGGTAGTAAAGCTGAAACAACTGATTCCCTAAAAATAAAACATTAAGTTTATACTTATGACCTACTTCAACTATTGAAAAAAACAACAAGAACCTAGTGTTACTTCTACTTAATATTTTGTTGTTGTTGTTTTAATTAAACTAAGTTGTTATTAAAACAATTATAATACATGCAATGGACTCTCCTGAGAGCTTCATTCTGTGATTTCTATTACAAGCCACATTATTTGTAACTATTGTAGCTATTCAAACCATAAACAATTTATTTCAATAAAGATTATTCAGTTAGATCTTCTGATAATGTAAGTAATTGTTGAGATTAATTGGTATTTAACAAAAAGAAAAGATTACACTTTCCAGTTTATAGCAAGTTTTTGAAATATTGAAAATAATTTTCTGTTTCTAACTTTATGTTTCAAAGATAAAAGCTGAAAAAATAGAAATATATTTTTGTCATGTTTAGTAAGAAACTACAAATATATCAAATTCAATAAAGGTTTTAAGCTTACAAAATATTAGGTTGTCATTATTGTGTCCATATTAGTATAATTTCTTTATTATAATCACAAATATATGTAATTCTGTTTAATAATTCACAGATATGATAATATACAAATTATTATTAATATTCCCATCACAGAAAGGAATTAAACTCTGATAAGCAGATAGATATATGGAACAAAAAATTACAACCACAACAAATAAAATTAATGCAAAATAGCATAACTGTTCTGTCCCACCCTAACTTGTAAGAATATTAGTATTAAAGAGTAAGTATCACAAGAAACCATAAATGTGACAGATAGGCACATTATTACCTGGCATAAAGAATCTGTAATGCTTGCAGAACTTGTTGCAGAGCTTGCTGTCTTGCACTATTTGATTCTAGAGAAAGCAACACTTTTGACAGAGATGGACGAGGTAGCTTACCAGCTCCATTAACCTTCACAGCTCCAGATTTATTTCTCCCTATAGAAACAGAACCACTTGATCCAGCTACAGCTTGGGTTGCTTCTGTAGAAGACAAACATTTATTACAAAATATTCTTAGCATGGGTTAATTCTGCTGAGACATAAATTGTTTACTAAATATCCTCAGAATAGTCATAACCCCCATTTTTGTCTAATTATCAAAAAAATATTTCTATAAACACTAATATTTTCATTTTAAATTTCTTATATCCAGATTAAAGCCCCACTTATGATTCCCGATGTGTCTCTGATGAAATGCTGCTCCCTCAAGACACAGTTTTTAAGATATAATAATTTTAAACATTCTTTTTTTTATTTATAATCACCATCCAGCTATAGTTCTCCTTCACAATGAGTTTAGAAATACAATGCATTTTCTAGGCTGATGATGTGTTTTTAATGACAGTCCCTTGATTTTTCCCTCTCTTTATATGGTAAACACTTGTGGATCATGAAGTTCACACAAAACTGTCATTTTTATCAATATCCTTATTATAAAACTAAATAAGATAAAATACAAAATTGTTTGTAACAAATAACACCTCTCAACGTTGTACTAAAACATTATTAACATATAATATATGGCTCAACTTATTTTCAGACTAACTATCATTATGGTGCAAGAAATGATAATAGAAAAGAAGGAACATTTAGGTTCAGCTTTGTAAACCTTATTGTGTACACTGGGCAGGGTTTCTGTAGTATAAAAACAAAAATGTCTGATGCAAAGAGAAGTTAATACAGTGATATTCAGTTGCTAAATCACACATACATACCATAGTGGCAGAACCGCACTACATCCAGAACAGGTATCCTCTTCACCTGGATCTTAATTCATCTACTGTGGGTGGAACTTTACATGATTTATCATCAACATTGGCCATTCCCCAACCAGATAGTTAAGGTTCCACTGCTCAGGATTGGAACTATTGGGTCATGGTCCCTATATCCCACATTAATGGCTAGGGCAATTGGACCACTATCTATATATGTATATATGAATAAGTGGATCCCAACCTGTAGTCATATAGTGATGTGTTCCGAGCTACCAGAATCATGACAAGAAGGTAAACAACACTGACGTGGACATATCTTCTCTTCAAGCTGAAGAAGTCTGAAAGGCAACATCCCAGGCTCAGAATGATGGGATCATGTACGTCTTACTCAACCTGAGGAAACAGAATTCATCCAGTCTGGAATTATGAACACTCATTCTCACTCCCCAACTGTATGGGCAAGGTAAATTTCACTTGCCCTCGGAATTATGGGAATAACGTGGAACAAACTATGCTCAACCAAGGACCCAGGATGGGATCACCCTGCATTCAGAAGTACAAGGAGACAATGGACCTCCTTGATGAACAATGTACTGAACCAATATTGTTAAAAAAAGAGGGGCCACACTCAATCCAACCAGATAGCAAAGTGTCAAACTTGAATCGGTATTACAAATAGGCTCCAGTGTAGGCTGCTGCCTCTCCTACTGAGATCTGGGGAAAAACATCCATGGACCCAGGTAGGAGGACCCCCAACTTTGCCCTCTTCTCCAAGAGTGGAGGAATTCACTCTAACACTCTGGAAGAAAAGCCTCTGTCCATCACCCCAGTGACTAGAACCAGGTGTGGTAAGGACATCCTAAATCCACTAGTAGAATATGGGGTTTAATGTGCACTGGGGAGTCCTGAGGAACAATGCTCTGGAAACAGTGCAATAGGTGAACAAAGTTTCCTAAATTTTTAAAAGCAAACTGACCCTGTTTCATTCAGTCCAATGATCAGCAGGAATGAGCATAATCCCCTTATGCTTTACTCATGATAGTTCATGAGTGGTGGTACATCATAGAACAGTAATACCACCCGGCCAGCCTCAATGTAGTCTAATGAAACACCTAATTTCTACAGAGCCTGTTTCAACCTGTATAAAGAATATTGAATTAGTGGTTGCTAGTGCAAAATTGGTTTGATAAAAGCATACCTTCCTGGGCAACACTCACCACATAGCCAGATCCTGTGCAAACAAGGTAAGGGACTCTGAAAGGTAGCAATGAAAATACTCACCCATCTGTATAATCAAGCAAAAGTAGTTAAGATAGCTACATGGGGTAATCGAAAAACCCTCAGATGAAGATACTGCCAGATCATGCAAGTAATGTGAGATAAAAGTATTGGGGAAAGTCCACATACCAACCCGCATAATGTCCTCCAGTGGGCAATTCAACAGGGCTGCTAAGGACATAGAAATGTGATGAATCTGATTAGAAGTGACTCGCCTTCAAAGAGTGCCCAGAATAAGTGATATGGATCAATTTCGTACCCACCTTGTCAACGTACCCGACGATAAATCATGGGAAATTCAATGATCCCAATGAATAAACAGTCATTGTCTAGAATCTCTGAAGGCAGTACTGCGGGCAACAAAACCTCCCAGGACAACAAAACCTCAAGACCCTCCCAGGACATAACAAATGATTGAAACCTGATTGGTCATAAAGGTGAGAAATAGTGATCAGATGAATCAGTGAAAAGAATTTATTCCCTTCCCTGTCTGACAGTAACTTAGGGAAGAAGAACTGGTTTGACAATGATAGAGCGCCCTGTGCACAATCAGTGCAAAACACTTAGACCAGCAATGTCTGTATGTCAGCAGCAATGAAAAATAAATCTTCAGGGATAGTTAATATATAGCACATGAGGCTAAGGTCACAACAAATGTTGAGAAAGTGCATGTAATGCAACCTTAAATTCCAGTTAGGTAATGGAATGGTCATTTGGGATAAAGAACCCAAAGTGATTTGAAGAAACTGGAGACCACTGGGGACTCAAAGAATTTTTGTCACGAGTATTGAACGATAGTTGATAAGGCCACCTTGTAGGCGATTGTGGAAAATGCAAAACCTTAGCCAAAGAGCCAGGTCGAAAAAGGAGTTATGGTTAGCACTTCTGATCGAAATGGGTTCAACCTCGTCTCTATATGCCATTGCCGATATATATGCCATTTTCATTGATAAATATCCATCACAGGACTAAGCAAAGACTGAGACAGATACATGGCAACCAAAGAAATAAAACTCCAATGCCATGTGAAGGACTGCAATAACCTTCATGCTTGAAGCTTGAGCTTCTGGATAGCCAGGTGTAGCTTGTCAGATCAAGGCTGCCTCTACAGAGATGGCCAAAGAGGAAGTATAAGAGGTGGGCACTGCTGAAGGTACCATAGAAGCAGAAACAAGTGAGTAGCTGCCAATCCAATGCTATCAACAGGACCTGACAATGGGTTGGAACAAATCATATTTAGTACCTTGGGTAACACAAATTGGAGTGAAGGCCTAGAGTTGTAATCCCATCCCATCCTGATAGAATGCATCCATTGCCAAAGCCTGAGGGTGAGATACTGGAGACCAACTTGCCAGTAGTTGGGTGTTCCAAAGAGTGGCCAACTTGCCAATGATCAGTATTTCAAAATGAGAGTCAATCCAACAGAAATTCTCTCGATGTAGCATCTGTTCTGTTGGGAAAATTAGTTTGGTTCGAGACAACTGATTTGCTACCACAGTCATCACCTGTGGAACATGGCAAGGTTGTAGGGTGACATGATAGGAGTGGTACCAGGAAAGAAAATCTAAGGTTCAATAACAAGGAGCCCTGGATCAAGTGCCCTCTTGATGAAAATGCAAGATGCCACCATGGTACTGTTGTAGTGAAGCCTGTCCCTGGAATTCCTGACTGTTGAGATATGCACCCCATCCCTGAAGAGAGGAATTCGTGAAGAGATGGATCTCTGGATGAGGTTGTGGCAGGGGAACCCGTATCTTAGTATTGTCCCAATCTAACAACCCCTCAAGATCAAAGAGTGATCCTGAATAAGGAAACTGGGGAATACAGTGAATTGATGTTTATGATCATTGGTCGCATAAAAACCACTGAAAGGATCTCTTGTGCATTTGTCCCAAAGGCATGAGGGATTTAAGTGATGCTCACATTCTCAAAAGAGAAAGAACCATCCATGCAGTAGGAGAAAGAGAGGTGAATAAGAGTTGGGCTTCCTGTTCCATTGCGTGGACCTGGATGGAAGTCAGCTAAGCCTAACTGTGATGAAAAACTACCCAGACCGACAAATATTGAGTTGAAGTATGAATAGATGTCAGCTCTGAGAATGAAGCCTGTCTTGGCTGTTTCTTAAAGCAGAATCCAGGTGCAACATCCTGATAATTGACGAGATGATGTCAACAGTAACCAGTCATCCATGAAATGGTGTGTGCACAGGGCTAGGGAATGGAGATGATGTGAAAATGCAGAACCAATGTAATGCCAATGCTAGTCCAAAGGTAAAAACTCTAAACTACAGTACCTGACTTTTGTGTGCCAAAAAGCCACCACTATGGCAATGTGCAGGTAGGAGCCAACTACAAACTTGAACATCCACAATCCTAGTAAAAGATGCCAACTCAGAGTGAAGAACGAGTCACTTTTGAACCTTGGAGAATCTAGGAATTGATATAGACAAGAAAAATCAATGACTGGACACCAACCTACTTTCTTCTTGGACCCAATAAACCGGCGAAAATAAAACCCCAGAAGAACTGGCACAACTATCTCTCTACCCCTAGATCAACCAAACTCTGATAGCCCTAGAACTAAGTTCCAAAATCCAAGGATCTGCGGGAGATGGAAACCCCCCAGAAGAACTGGCACAACTATCTCTCTACCCCTAGACCAACCAAACTCTGATAGCCCTAGAACTAAGTTCCAAAATCTAAGGATCTGTGGGAGATAGAAACCCTTAGGGTTGGGTGGATAATGGTGATGAAGATGTGTACTGAATGACTGTTCCTGACTCAAGGACCTATAGTGTCCATGGATCCATGGTTAAGGTTTACCACACATCCAGAAATTCTCAAAGCCGAGCCCTCACAGACCCTGAAGGCATACAATAATCACCGACACCGCTGGTGACTTTACGTCCAAGCAGTGGAACTCTTGGATAGGAACAGAATTTATTCTGGGTACCAATGGACTGAGGGGCTGATGTTGGGAGTTGGGACCCTCAAATAGAGGCATAAATATAACTCCTGTAGGAGCCGATGAAAGTTGAGACACCAACAACAACAGAGAAGAATGTAGAAGCCAACAATCGAATCAATGTGCATGCTAGCAATGGTTCCAGCTTGTGATCCTGAATCTTCCAACAAAGTTTAGTTTTAGGAAAATAACACATTGGACTTTAGAGTTGCAAGTCCATAGAGTTACTACTGTCTCACGAGGGGGCACTGATTTATTCAGGTTAACTACAAAGTCTGCTCTAGATGTATTCTTTGAGAGTCAGAATATGCTTCCACCTGGTGGTGGTAGGCTAAATCGCATAGTTCTGACAACCATAACTGATCAGTAAATCTCCCCGCATGAACCACAATGTCAGTGAATGGAGGGAAAACTATATATTCACTCCCATACTTTCAGTAATCAAGTACTATGCAGGCTCAAAAGGAATTGGGGAAAGACTAAAAACATCACACACTTGATGGACCAACTGAAGAAAAGAAGGTGCAGGAAAAAGTGAATCTAAATTCTCTCCAGAATGTCCAGGATCACCCTCAATTGTGGCTTCAGAGGCCCCAGAGTAACACCACCAAACCAAATATATGTCTCCATCTCACTACAGTAAGATCACTGACAGTCTTAACTGAGGATGACCCGTTAGTGAATGCTTTGTTGAGAAAAAGTGATAACATTATTTGAATGAGGTGCTTATATACAGTACCAGGATAGAGAGCGCATTGATGTAGATGGAGAGTGTTACAAGACAAATATCAATGAAGGCAATTAAGTAGGGTATAAAAGCCTAGAGTGAGTGAGAAAAAATCAGACAAATGCTTAGAATGGCAAAGGAAGAAACCCTGGAGACGAGTAATAGCTATATTGTGAGAGGAGGTATGTTTAAGAATAACCATTAATAGTTGATATACTATATCCTGAATGTCCTTTAAAATTGTAACAGACTTTTTTCCAAACAAGTTGTGTTATAACCCATTGTATCTCTTTCAAACTGTATAGATACTGTACAGATTCTTTTTCTAAATTTAGAAACTTTATATAAAATATCATAAACAAATCATTCTAAGTGAGAAAACCACTATATCTGCCTACTCATATATCATATATTAAACTTGTTTTTATAGGTAATTAATGCAATGAAATGTAATAATTCACCATCAAGACCACCATACAAGCTAGGAGCCTCCCCCAAAATGTAAATTTATATTTTGCCTCAACATGCAATAATTAAGATTATTACAAATCATACTTTATAATTATAAAACAATCCATACACAATAATTACTTAGGATAATTCTCAGGATGAGTAGTATTGGATAGACTGTAGGTAACTGTCTAGAGAAGCAATGGAGAGGAGTTGCAAATAATGTTGTAATTTGCCAAGGTCACTGTACAGTTACAATATCACCTCCCTAGTTGAGCAAGTCTGTTGAGAGTAGGCAATGAGAGAGCAAGGGAGGAGTGTTCAGTTTCCCTCCCTATACAATAGAAATCCAATGTTTTTTCCAGGAAGCATGTATAATGAAAATATTCTTAATATTGTGTTAACTAAACGTTTCTGTAAAATAAGCTACTGAGCTCAACAAACTACAAGTTTTTTGTTTTGTTTTTTTTTCAGGAAAGGTACACAGTAAAAACATATTTTTTTAAAATTTTTTGTAAAAATTTGTAAAAAGTGCAATATAGCTAAAGAAACAATTAACAGCAATAACTTAAAAAGGATCAAAACACTGAGCTTAAGAAAAACATAGCTGACGGAAGGCACCATATTTTCAGTGCTCAACACCTGAAAAGAAAAGCAAAAAATGATAGATTTGGAAAAACCAGTGATAAGATCAGTAATACAACTTCCTGTTATGCTACCTCAGAAATTGAAGACACTAGACCGTCTCATGACAAAGATAATTCTAAAGATGAAAAGTAGACAGAAAGCAAAAATACCCGTGTATTTAATTTGGATGATCTAGTGATTGGCCAAAATTTACTTAGAAGTGCAACAGTTCTTGGAAAAAATGCATGCATTTGACTTTCCTAAAATTTAATACAGAACAAAATTCACAACAAGCTATTATACACAATGACTCATTAATGTAGAAATATGAAGACAATTGGTTCAATATCTAGAAGCCATATGAAGTTCTTCACATCAAAAATACAAATTTCCTGAAGCTTGCCATATATTTGGGCATATTTGATCACACTAAGAAATATCATTCTAGAAGAATTAATACATAAGAAATCTATAAGCACTATCTAGGAATAGACATCCAATGAGACCCAAACCCATGTACTGATTGCCACTAAAAATGCCAAGTATTAATCTGTTGTGCTTGAATGCACTCCAGATACACATCATACAAAACAAATCAGAGTGAACACTTTTCTTATCCCTGCTACTAAGCAAGCATTTCCTTGGATTTTCACCATGAAAAGACACTAGTATGACTGCAGTGGTTGTAATAAAACTTGAGAAAATAGCATTGCCCCTGCAAGATTTATGATACCAAGAGTATGGCAATGGATTCAAGATGTAAAAAACAAGTTTCCAAAAACGAATTAGAGACTTAAACACAAGAGTTCTTTTTGCACAGTATAATGTATACTCTCTGGATCTTGTATTGTACAATGCAGCAAACTGTTATTCCAAGGTGGTGAAGTTCTTGGACTCATTATGGGGATGTACTGCTAAATGTGTTTTCCAGTTAAACATAAAACCAATAAGTGATGCATGATGGAATTGTAAAATTGATTCTATCTGTGCACTCTGATATTAGATGAGAGAGAAGTTTCTGGAGTTCTAGTCTCCATTTCAGAAGACCTGGTAGCCAGTGGAAAAAACTCTTGTTCCAAGAAATTGCTGCCAACTCTAATAACTATATATATATATATATATATGAATTTGATGCACAAATGAAAGTGACATTATATAGGAGGCAGATTGAAAACTTGCTCAGAGAGGCAAAATACTTAGCATTGGGCCTGACAATATATATATTTAAAATTAAGCACAGTAGTACTTAATTGTAGAGATCATGATGATACAAAATAGCAGCCATAAAAATTGCCCATTTAAAACCACCTTTAAAATGTCTGAATATTAACAATGACTATTTCACAGTATTGGTTGAACAAAACTAAAGCTTTTAAAATTCAAAGAACAGCTAAAATGGTATAGAAAAAATATATCATTTGAAAACCATGTTTCACCACTGTTAAAGTGGCATCATCAGGTACTCAATACAATTGTACACAACAATTAAATATACTCAATTGGTGACATCACAAACATAATCTTGAGCTTAGCACATGTATAAACCTACTCTTTGTGTTATATTTATATTCCTTTATTAAAATGGCTTATTTTGTATTAAGCTTTTTATGATTTTTTGTTTTATTTAAATATAAGTAGAAATAAAATAGGTTAAGAAATCACACTGGATGTATCTGTAACATGATGATGCACACAGCTATAGAACTCACATAGTAGTGATTTCTAAAGTTTCCTGCTTCACCAATTTTGTTGAAATTTAGATGAAAAAAATTAATTGCACTTTGTAAGAGCAAATTCCAAGTCATTTACTGCCCTTTAAACTAGTTCCTCCATTATGAATCATGTTTTCTGATGGCCATGATTATGCACTATTACTCAACACCATAATTTTACACACACACACACACAAATATATATATAATTTTTGTTGGGTGCCCCTAAATCCGAGGTCCCAGGCTCCAGCCACTATGTTAATCCTGCCGTGTACACAAATACACCATAAACTGATCACAAATTAACTGTACAAAATTGAAAAGTAAACAATAACCTAGAACCCATTTTAGCACTACACATAAAATAATAAAATAGAAGTGTATGTAAAATCACACTCATAATGCTTTTTGATTGCTGCTACAAAATCTTAAGAGAATTTCCACTTTTTTAATAAAAAGAGCTCTTAAAAAGCAGTAACACACTATTCAATCTTTAAAACTACACAGTAACATAAAAAATTCTGCTAAAGCAAGAAAAATACTATATATTTTTCCTGAAAACAAAAGCAAGTTTTTCGAAATAAAGAGCTAATAGCTTTTATATTTTACTTGAAACAACTATTTATCAAACATAAAAATAACACTGTCATAAAGTCTTTCTAATATGTGGCTCACATATACAATGATTCCAATTTTTATTTGTATGTTTGTATTTTTAACTGCCAAAGACTAAAGACAAATTTTAAACAACTACTTAGGTAATTTTTTATGTAACAAATATTAGAAATAAAATACTACAGTGCTACTTATACTGAAGAAAACTATTTCTTACTGAGACAAGAAGATCCTAATGCATCCTTAGCCACTGGAAACAGTACAGGTTCATGAACTCGTGCTACATGCACTTCAGAGGTTGTCCAGGCTATACTATGAGAAGATCCACAAGCAACTCTTGATACTTTTATTCCTTCTAAGCCATGAACTAATGCTGGCTTACGATTTACTGCAGTAGTCCCATTCCCTTGCTGTCCATGGTCATTATCACCCCAGGCATATACCTAAATAATCAGCAATTAAATGACAAGTGTTAACTCTGCTTCATGTATTTAATGATCTTTAGACTGTGATCTTGAATAAGAACCATAAAAATAAAATTATTTTTTTTAATGGTTGATAAATATAGTACATTAAATCATAAATAACCTGTAATTTCATGTGGAAGACTTGTTCCATATTTCTAGTAATTATGTTAATTTGAAGCATTTGGCAGTATAATTTCTATTTTCAAAATTAAGTTGATATTCCTTAAGCAGGAAGAATAATATAATGTTTATAATGTCTGGAAACTTGTATCTTCAAAAAGGATATCCTTACTACAATCACACAATATTCATCAGAGTTCTTATCTCCTGTTACTATCTAACAATGCCTAGAAAGTATATTTCATTTGTTTGAAAATAACAACAACTATGAATCTTTAGAAGTAAAAATTTTCCCTGTGATCCAAAACAAAAATAGTTAAGTATTCAATTATTATCATTTAAAAAAATATCAAAAACAAACACTAAACATGCAGCTTAATGCTATTTTTTCAGATGTTTTGATAATGTTGTTTGGTGTTTTATGGCGCAAAGCAACGAGGCTATCTGTGCCAAACAACCAGTAAAAACAGTGAAAGTAAATTAAAGTAAAATATAAAAATACAGTGAGTTAAAACTAATATACGTCGATAAAAGATTTATAAGCAATTAAAAAGACCTATACTGCATAAAAAATTAAAAATACAATCTAATCGGACAGTGTGACCATTACCAATGACACTGTCCAACGTCAGAGGTAAACTCTTAGAAAATATGTGTTTAAAATAATGCCGCCGCTCACGATCGTAACGACGATTTATAAGCAATTAAAAGACCTATAGTGCATAAAAAATTAAAAATACAATCTAATCGGACAGTGTGACCATTACCAATGACACTGTCCAACGTCAGAGGTAAACTCTTAGAAAATATGTGTTTAAAATAATGCCGCCGCTCACGATCGTAACGACGGAAGGACAGTAAAATGTGGGCTATTGTGACTTGAGTGTCACAATGGTTACACATCGGTCAATACCTGATAAAAGAAAACGATGGGTTAAAAACTGTGACCAATGCGTAGCCTTGCCAGGACTATTTCCCTCCTTCCGATTCTTATGGAAGCAAGACGGCCAAAAACCAACAGTAGACTTGATCTGGAAAAGCTTGTTATGACATTGCTCACCCCAAGTCGACTGCCAACTGGCGTGAAGCCGTGCCTTAAAAACAGGACCGCAGTCCATGTATGGGACAGGCATGGCCGTGATGGCACCCAAGCAGACGGACTTAGTTGCGGTGTCAGCAAGCTCGTTCCCGTGAATACCAATGTGGCCAGGGATCCAGAAAAATTGGATGGAAACAGAAGATAGAGAAAAGTGGGCCAATCGGTGTTGAATATCGACGAGAACAAGGTGAGAACTAACATTAAGTGATCTAGGGCCAGTAGAGCTAAGAGAATCAGTGTAAATAGTACAATTATTGTTCTGCATAGCTTCTACATGATCCAGGCCAAGAGAAATAGCATACAACTCAGCAGTGAACACAGAAACTGTAGAGGGGATCCTGCGAGCAACTACCGAAGCCACAGCACACCAGGGCAGAACCTACCAAGTCACCCGATTTCGAACCATCCGTGTAAATAGGAAGAGAAGAATGGCTCGAAAGATGCTCAGCAAAAAAAAATTATACTTCCAATCGGGAGTATCTGCCTTCTTCAGATGACTCAGAGAAAGGTCACAGGAAGGGATGGTAATAAGCCAAGATGGAATGGGCTAATCATTGGGGACAGCAATGTCATCCAATGCCAGACCCAATTCTGCCAGTTGCACCTGGATACGAAGGCCAAAGGAAGGAATAGCAGACCGTCTGTTCTGAAAGAGCATGGCACATCGTGGGAGAAAGACACGATCCCAGGTGGGATGCCGTGGTAAGGATCGAAGCTTGGCAGCATATTATAAAGAAAGTTGCAAATGACGGAGGTGAAGAGGAGGTTCGTGGGACTCAGTGTACAAACTCTGGACTGGAGAAGTGCGGAAATACCCAGTACAGAGCCGAAGCCCCAGATGGTGAATGGGGTCCAGCATCTTCAAGGCCGAGGTCCTGGCAGAACCATAGACCAAAGACCCATAGTCCAGTTTGGATCGAATCAGTGCACGATAGATCCTGAGCATAGAACATCAATCCGCACCCCAAGAGGTGGAAGAGAGGACACGGAGGATGTTCAACGACCTTGCACACTTGACACGTAGCTGCTTGATGTGCAGAATGAAGCTAAGCTTACAGTCAAAGATAAGCCCCAAGAATTTTGCCTCAGGGACCACATGAATAACTACATTGCTGAGACAGAGCTCAGGATCGAGGTGGAGACCCCGTTGGCGGCAAAAATGCATGCAAATGGTTTTGGAAAAAGAAAATTTAAAACTGTTTGCAGTGGTCCATGTCAACAACCGATTGAGGGCAGTCTGAAGCTGCTGCTCAATAAACCTCATGTTCGACGACTGACACAAAATGTGGAAGTCGTTGACATAAAGCCCATTTGCAACCATCAGAGGAAGATTATTAGTGATAGCATTAATTTTAACACTAAAAAGTGTGACACTCAAGACACAGCCCTGAGGGACTCCAAGTTCCTGTGGAATGGAACGGGAAAGAGTTGAACCCACACGGACTTGGAATCACCTGTTCAGTAAAACGTTTTGAATAAAAATGGGTAGATGGCCCCGCAACCCATAGGAGTGGAGGTCCTGCAAAATTCCATATCTCCATGTGGTGCTATAAGCCTTCTCGAGATCAAAGAACACAGAAACAAGGTGTTTTCTCTTGAGAAAGGCTTCCCTGATCGACGTTTCAAGTCAACTCAGATGGTCCATGGTGGAGCACTGTCGACGGAACCCACACTGGGTGGGAGAGAAGAGTGTGTTTGATTCAAGGAACCAAACAAGACCAGCATTAACCATCCTCTCTAGGACCTTACAAAGATAATTAGTCAAAGCAATGGGACAATAATTTGAAGGAATCTTGGGATCCTTCCCAGGATCAGAGAAAGGGAGAACAATGACAATAGCCTGATGCCAAGAATCAATAAAAATGTGCTCCTGCCAAATCCGGTTAAAAATAACCAGGAGAATAGCAAGAGAGGCAGGTGAGAGATGGCGCAACATCTCATAATGAACATCATAAGGTCCGACCGATGTATTACCAGACTGATGAAGAGCAAGTCTGAATTCCACCGGTGTAAAGGGGCGATTATAATCATAGAGACGATCAGACTGAAAGGAAAGAGGTGATCGCTCTGCCCGAGATTGAGATTTGATGGCCAAGAAGGCAGGGGAAGAAACAGAAGTGCTAGAAGCACGAGAAAAGCTGTGGCCAAGAGCATCAGCAACTTCCTGGCCATTGGAGAGCAAGAAGGAAAGGGGATGGGAAGCATACCTCCCAGAAACTTTCTGAATCTTGTTCCATACAGTTTTGGAACTGGTGGTAGAAAAGATGCTAGTAGTGAATTTAATCCAAGATTCCTTTTGGCACTGACGTCGACCCTGCCGAGCATGGGCACGGGCCCGCTGATAAACAATGCGGTTAGAAAGAGAGGGATATCGTCGGAAGGTATCCAAGGCCCGTTTTTGAGCCTTCTGTGCCCTCTGGCAGGCAGGACTCCACCATAGACGAGGATACCGTGGAAAACGTGTCGAGGTCTTAGGAATAAAACGAGCTGCCGCCTGGACAATATAGTCAGTTACTGCAACCACACAGTCGTCTATTGATAGCAGGATCAAGTTCAGAGAGAGAGGTGAAAGATGGCCAGTTAGCCTGGTCCAACTTCCATCGTGGCACTCGGGTCGGATGACATCGACTATGGCCAACCTCTCTCATAATGATAGGTAAATGATCACTGCCCCGTGGGTCACAGTCAACCATCCAAGAAAAGCGAGTGAAAAGTGAAGGGGAGCCAATCGAGAGATCAATGGCAGTAAAAGACTGACTAGGTGCATGAAAATAAGTATATGTTCCAGTATTGAAGAGAGAAAGGTTGTGATCCGAGAGCATATGCTCAA